GTAGAGTATGAGGGGTGCCTCTTGTCTGCTTTCACCTTAAGGAATAAACAAAGGACATGTAGGTTCTTTGCAGATTGAAGCGAACCACTCATTTGACTCAACGTAAAGGCTTTCTACGGGGCTGGTGCGAAAAGCACCCGTAGAAAGGCGGATGCCCAAATGGTGCACGGGGTCCAGCATCTTCAAGGCACTTGAGTAGCAGACTGATAGACAACGGCCCCATAATCTAAGCGGGTGCGAATGAGGCTTCTATAGAGGTTCATGAGGCATTGCCTATCACTACCCCAAGTAGTACGTGACAACACTTTTAAAACATTCATGGCTTTTAAACATTTTGTTTTTAGATACTTGATGTATGGCACGAAGGTCAACTTGTTGTCCAAGATTAGGCCTAAGAATTTATGCTCGGCTTTGACGGGACAGGACGTTGCCCGTTCTGTCGAATGTCAGGTTCCGAGTGCATGCCTCTCTTTCGAGGAGAACAAAACACACGTGCTTTTTTGTTGGTTAAGTCGAAATCCGTTTTCATCTGCCCATTTGGAGATCTTATTTAACCCAGCTGAACCTGCCGCTCACACATGGCCAAGTTGGCATGACTTGAAGCCAAGCTGACGTCGTCGACATATGTACAATAGAACATATTGCGGGGAATGGACAAGTGCAAAGAGTTCATTTTGATAATAAAAAGTGTGCAACTAAGCACGCCACCTTGTGGCACGCCTGTTTCCTGGACAAATGTTTGGGAAAGCACACTGCCCAGACGGACACGGAATGTCCGCTTTGACAGGTAACTTTCGATTATATGAAACATTCTTCCGCGCACACCAAGGTGAGACAGGTCTCTAGAATGCCGAACCGCCATGTTGTATCATACGCCTTTTCGATATCTAGGAACACAGAGAGAAAATATTGTTTATGGACGAAGGCGTCTCTGATCTGTGCCTCGATACGAACAAGGTGGTCTGTGGTGGATTACCTTCTCGAAACCCGCACTGAAATGGGTCGAGCAAATTATTGTTTTCAAGGAAATATAAAAGTCGGCGGTTTATCATTTATTCAAAAAGTTTACAAAGGCAGCTGGTTAGTACAATGGGCCTATACCTTGAAACTGAGGAAGGGTCCTTGCCCTGTTTCAAAATAGGATAACAATAGCCTCTTTCCAGGAAGCAGGGATGGTGCCAGAAAGCCAGATAGTATTGTATAGAGAAAGTAAAGTTTTTCACGTTTTGAGCGGCAGGTTTTTCAACATTTCATACGTGACACGGTCATAGCCTGGGGCAGAATTACTGCAAGAGTTAGTGATATTGTAGCTCAGCCAAGTTGAAAGGTTGGTTGTATGCCTCGTGATTTGTACATTTGTATTCTAGTTTCTGCTTTTCTATCTTTGCTTTATCTTTGGAAAGCTTCAGTGTAGTGTGACGAGCTAGACACTTGCTTGTAGTGTGCACCGAAGAAGTTCGCCTGATCTTCCAGGCTGTCACCCTGTGTGTTTACGAGTGGGAGTGAGTGTACTTGTCTTCCTACTACCCTACGAACCATGTTCCAGACTTTAGCCTCGTGTATATGAATTTATCCCTGTTAAAAACTTGTGCCAGCTTTCTCTTCTGGCCTGCCGACGCGTTCTTCTGCCTCGAGATTTTATTTTTTAAAGCTCTCAAGGTTTTTTTGCTGTCGGCGAGTTCCGCAGGAGCCACCATGCCCTGTTCTGTTCCTTTCGCGCATTCTAACATTCAGTGTTCCACCACGGGACGGTGGTTTGCCGGGCAGTCCAGATGTTTGTGGAATGCACTTCGTTGCTGCGTGAGTAAGAAAAGCCGTGAAGTATTGCACAGCTTCATCTATGCCTAATCCGCATATGTCAGTCCAACTAAGTGAGTAATCTTTTGAAATTGTTCCCAGTCCGCTTTCTTTACTAGCCATTTGAGAACATATGGAGGACATTCATATATTATTGGTGTACTCAAAACTAAAGGAAAATGGTCACTTCCGTATGGGTTATTTATGACTTTCCACTGAAGTAATCAGCTCAGGGTTGCATACATGCAACAAAATTGTTACTCACCGAGATGGAGGTACGCCCCCCAATCAACAAGGTGGTGCCCAAACGAACTCAAATGCATGTTTCTGCCCCAATTTAGCAACTTTAGGGTTACAAGCACATAACTTTTATGGCTATTCCAGAGGGTTGTGCCATTCGATTAGTAGTCAGTGCTTATGTAACTTGCACGTTCTACATCCTGTGCCAAGTTAACAGCATGCATTGGGCGTTAAACAAACAGCTTAGTGTTTAAGAATTATTGTGCTTGATCGTCAAACATCTGCTTGCGCACTTTCGATTTCAGGAGATCTTGGATCTTTCTCAGCAGGATCTGGGCAGATTTTTTTCCGTGTCAGCAGTGTGACGTCTTTCTGCTGTCCCCAGTGCTTGAGTGTTTCTACAAACAGACGAGTCGATTTTGAGCATTAGACAACAAAAAGTAGTGATTGCGGCAACGACAACTGCCACACCATAGAGGCAGAGCTTGGGTTTGAGCACTTAAAGCTCCGACATCACTGGATTAGGAATGTGCATGACTTAGTTTCACAAGCTCCACAAAAACCCAAGTTGTCCTGTTCGGCAGCTGATGGCAGTTAAATTTGGTGCACAGTTTCATGTGCAACAGATTGTCAGTTGAGCATAGGAGCCTACCATGCACCCCATCAAATTTAACCCAAACTCAGAGATATCTTTCCATATTTCCAGTACAAAGTGCAACTTCTGTTCACCCTATATACCAAATTTTGTTTTGACAACTCGCAAAGCAAACAGCATGAATTTCACTCTTTCATTTTCGTTCATGCTGCCAGGCTGTGTAAAGATGACTTCCTGCATGCGCTGTGGAAAACTATTCATGCTAGTTGTACCTGACACAACAAGAAGTTTCTCCGGTGTCAGCGGCCTGCTTGGGCTGCTCCCCCAATGCTCTCTTCCTGGAGCCAACGGTCCCTGTGACGCTCCTAGATGCAAGAACGTTGCTTCCCCATATAGCGTGGGCAGCATCCTTCACCACCAAGGTAGCCTTCTTGTTCCCAAATATTTTTTTTGCACACACACCACTTATTGTTACGCCTTTCGTCAAATGGAACTGTGAAAAAGCAAAATAATGGAGGAAAATCCCTACTGTAAGGAGCAATGAAACAAAAAATGCTGCATGTTACTTCTGCTAAACATACAACAAAACTAACAAATTGTTTAACCAATGCACCTGGCACAACACAACGATGTAGCACATGAATAGTATGTACAGTCTATCACACTTGTCTATGGTGCACAAGTGGTGTGCTGCAAATCAAATGCAGTAAAATGTTATTGGTTACTCTGTTAGAGACAATGCTTTTGAGCCTGTGCGGTTCATCTAGTATATTCAACTGCACATGAATGCAAGAAGTATCAGTGAAATTGAGTATCTGCTTTAGAATTTTGCCATATTTCATCCACACAGCACTGCTCAGGTGCTCAAGACAGGTGTGATCAGCACTGTACACCTTGCTATTGCTGATAATAAAAAAGAAAAACTGTGTGCTGGTCCCAACGGTATTCATACTTCTCTCAAAAAGTACACTGAGTAAAACTGAAGACTTGAGCATGCTAAAAAATAAAAATGGTAAACATGCTGCAAGCAAGAAGCTTTAAGAAAGCTTTCGTAATTAACTATACCACCTAGATCTATAGAGTAGCTGTGACTACCAATAGAAAAAAAAAACGGTTAAGCATGAAAAGCAGCTGCAGACAGTGACATTAAATTTCGAGCAAATTACTTACAGAGCCATCTTCCATATAAATGAAATCTCCATTTGGGCCTGCAAGAAAGATATCAGGTCCTTGTCATGGCACAAAAAAAAAAAATTATTGTCAGAATATCTGAGGTGACATCTGAGCTGACCTGGATGTGTAGTGTTCTTTTCTCCACCAACAGTGCTTGTCCTTTCCTCTGGTTCTACAGCAGTAGATGAGCACGGTGCTACGCAACATTTAGAATTATTCAAAAATGGCTTATCTTGGTGCACAACTTGCTCTAATTGAAACAAAGTTTACTGTCTATGAAACCAGAGCTGTTACTTACGGAGAACACGTTCACTGCAGGCCATGTTGTCCATAATCAACAGATCTAAAGTTACAAAGATATAGTGACAGTAACTGTCACTCCAGTTTTGAAATGCAGGGAAGTATTATAAAAGAAGCAAAGTACTCACTTCCGACGAAGCTTTCTCCTTCATCTGTCTCAGAATGTGCTGTAATAAAAATGATTCAGGTGTAAAAGTTTAGATTTCAACCCCTCAAGCCTGTTAAATCTGGATGCTTTTGTTTAAAGCTTCATGCTAGTCAGAGCGTGCCTTAGAGCATTGGCTGCTTCTAAAAGCTACGATGAGGTGCACATCTCCAAGTCAATTCACTTCGGACTTTCAAACCAAAAATCACAATGTAACATAGCGATAAACCATACCAAGGAAAATTTTGTTCGTTCGAGGTTTTCTCGATTGGCTACTCTGTTTTACAGTTCAAACTTTACTTTCATCTATCCACCTCCACTTTCAAAGAACCAACATCATTTCATTATCATGGCACTAGCATCTTCTATATTACATACTGACTGAAGCTGCCATCTTACTGCAGAACAGCTGAACTTACACTCCAAAGTTAATTCATGCTGTGTTTGGCGGGCACTTTTTCAAAACAAATAAAAAGTGCAGCACTCTTTGAACTCGTTCGGCAGTTCATCAAGTAAAGCCAAATCTCTATAACCTTTACTTTGCACATACTACTGAGCGAGTTGCTTAGACAAAATATGAATAAATAAATAATAAAAAAGCTGACTTCATTAAACAGGTCAAAGTATGCTATATTACTGTCCCAGTGAAATATGGAACTGATGCATTTACTCAAGAGCATAGGTGTATGCAGTTCTTATGGGGAAACAAACCTGACAACATGCCCCGACTGCAAGGCACCCGGTCTTGTTCTACTGCAACTGCATGTACACAAAAAAAGGGTGCACAAGTTTTTATGTAGCACATGAGTTGTCATGTAATCATTATACATGGAGCTTTTGTCAAGTAAATAATGCAGAGCAAAAAGCATTCTTACGCTTGAAAAGCTTGCTTTCAAGGGATCTCTGCAGGCTTGCAACCTGCTGCTTAGAAACTGGTTGTCGTGCTGCAGCTCCTCAGCACGCAATTTCCACATGTCTCTGTCCTTCTCAAGCTCTTTAACCACCAGCGCCTTCGTTCTCGCCTTCCACACGTCTTTCTTCTTCTTCATTTGAAGAATTTCACTTTTTGGGCACAATTCATCACTATCGGAGGACCCGCTGTCCGACGGAGTGTCTGTCCCTTTCCTTGGCTGAAATTTCATCATGCAAAAAATGACTTCATGAATTCACTAGGATGGCTTGGTGGGCTAGTTGGTATTGCATCTTGAAGGCTACTGTGCACAATAGACAGGAACAACAGAAGCAACACAAGTATCGGCGCTTCACTTTGTGCTTTCTTCTGTTGTCCCTGTCTATTTATTGTGCCCTAGCTGTAGCCTTCAAGGGTCTCATGAGGGTTTTGCTTTCAGTAAAAAAAAATGCTTCTTTTATAGTACAGTGCACTAATGAAGACCATGGCACACTTACCTGTGCTCTAGGTTTACGCCCAGAGTGCGCTTTTTCCAGATTCTTTTTAAGAATTTCGTCATACATGTTTTTTTTTAGCATTTGCTCTGTCGTTCTTTTGTTTCTGAAAGAAGTCGAAAGCACAATTACAGATGATGATCAATGCAAGACCAGCAAGTTTTCAGCCGTTTCAAAATGTAGGCAGCATAAATAGCAACCTTTCTTTCAGCCTTTTTTCTTTTGTTTGGGACTCCACGAGCTCATCAGGATCATCATCTGACGTTTCTTGCATAGGTATTTTTGGTATCACCAACCTCTTGGCCCGCATTTTCGCGCGGGCGTCATCTTCGCTTTCTGTAAGAAATTACGACTATAAAATTGGAACCGTAACATTTCACATACCACACATACCTGCCAGCATCAAGACTTGCGTGTTGTACAAACCAGTGTTTGTGTCATCCACGGGGTCTCGCCAGTACGCGCTGTAAACAAAGCGGTTGTCGTAGTCGCTGGTGTCTTTGGGATCAAACTTCTCGATGTCATGCACGTGAATGACGTGTAACCGTTTGTCGTGATCGTCCAGGAAACGAACAACAGCGTACATGGTAGTACTGATGATTTAACAAAGCCTTAAATGGCATCACACACACACCAATCTCTGAAAAAAATGTAGCAGTCGCGTGTCGCGCACGTGTCGTGTCCATTAAAATAACACCATAACAACTCCTAGCGGCAAGACTGGGCAATACCAATAACTGCGTGCGGAACAAAATAAATAAATAATACACCTATAAACAAATAAAAAATGCTTTAAATAAGCTTATAAACAGGTGTAAAAACTGTTCATGTTATAAACAATGTATAAACTTACTAAGATATAATTAAATAGATATGTGTTTTTGAAATCCGGGTTGCAATCCAACTAATTCAACGCCGTACAAGCCAATCCAAGTCGTTTGATTGTGTGAGATCATGGAGAATGTGCGAGTCCGAGCGAACTATGAGCGAACTGTCGTGATTGTGCGCGTGACACAACGTGTGGCTTCATTACTTAGAAGGTTTTCGGTGAGTTTGCAGTGCGATATTTGCGTGGATCCGCACTGAGGGAGTATGCCTCGTAGAAAGGAATACCTAAACCCAGGCAGCGCCTCCGCCATCCCGTATTCAACGAAAACATATCTCGAAAGATCAGCCTCGAGCGTGCAACAATCACGTCGTGGACTGCAGCAGGACACAAATGTCGCTGGCGGGTCGACTGCTCCGACAGCACTTCGCGTACTGACGCAACCTCCGCAGACTGATGTTGAAGGCGACTGTGACTCTGAATCGGCACATGAAGCGGCCCCAAGTGACGAGCCGCAGCCTTCCGTTGGCGCAGAAATGACAGACGAGCCACAGGGAGATTTAGGGAGCTTCTCTAGTGACGATTTGCTGGCACTGACTGTCAATTTTGTCCTCGAATTTGGCATCCCTTGGAAGGGAGTCGAAGCACTCCAAAAGTTGATAATGCACATACTTGAACGACATGATATACCAGTTACTAAATATCTTTTCAAGAAGAGTGTCGGGGCAGAAATAAAAGCCGCCCGGTTACACTTCTACTGTGAAAACTGTATGACGCTCCTTGCCGTAACAAGTGGCGACCTTGCAGCGCGGAATGCAGTGCGGGTAACGTGCACCGTATGCGGGCAACGTAACAGTGGGCCGCAGATGCTACGCGATGGCCACTTTTTCATAACCCTGCCATCGCAAAGTTGCTGTCTTCGTTACTTGCCGAGAATGATGCGAGCACTGCACTCCACGAAAGACTGAATTCAATAAACGAGAGTATGTCTGTCGACAAAGATGAAATGACAGACATAATAGATGGCACCTTATACAGGGCACTTAGGCGCGAATTGACATCAAAAAATGATATCACTCTCACTGTTAACAGTGATGGAAGCGCCGTGTTCAAGTCATCGAAGTTTTCTGTGTGGCCCGTTCAAGTGATGGTGAATGAACTCCCAGTGTACATGAGGCAGAAAAATGTGCTTGTGTCTGCTCTGTGGTATGGCCAGAAACATCCCGACATGACTCTCCTACTGAACGCATTTGTTGAACAAATGGACGGTTTGTCGACCAGTGGGATCACATGGAAGGCAGGCAACGAAACTGTGCATTCCAAGGTAATTTTTTTTTAATTATTAAAGCTGCTTGAACAACACGACTTCAAGACATTCTAGTTGTAAATGCTGCACTGAGCTACAATGCATAGACGAGGCTACATTGTTGTGCCAGCTAATTTCTTCCAGTCATGATGAAATCCAGGCCACTTGGGCATAATGACACCATGGAGGATGGCACACTAGTTCATCTTTGTGTGTATTCTTTTCTAGTGCGACTTTATCTCTAAATACTGTCAATTATCTAAGTGTCAAAGTGGTATTTACTGCATTGTGTTTACTGTAACTGTTACAACTTACGGAGATCATGTCCCTTTATGCAAAAGCATGAAAGTGCTTCTTCTGAATGGATTGTTATCAATTGAAAACTGTAATAACATCACCCGATCTTTTCCTTGTCCTCAATGTCTACTGCAATAATTGACTTGTGTCTGGCAAAGAAAACAAGCCCTCTATCCATTTCCTTTTTGTTGTACTTCATTGCAGAGGGTAGTTAGGGCTAACAGCTTCCTTTTTTGTCCTTGCTCATGCAGGTGTACTGCTTCAGCTGCAGCGCTGATGCACCAGCACGGGCAGCCATGCAGCACCTAACCCAGTTTAATGGGTATTATGGCTGTGGATGGTGCTTGCATCCAGGGGCAGCTGTGAATGGTTAGTAAAGATGTCGCATTACTGCATAACATGGAGTCAGATTTCTGACTAGATATGTTGATCAGAGTTTCTCTCTTTTTTAGCAATTTTTATGTAAACATTCACCTTGTTTAATGTATCTGGGGTTGCCATTTCTCATCTCAGAGGCAAAAATGTGCTTTATGTCGTAGCGATTCTATGTTTCCAAATTCTGGCACATAGTATGTTTTTCTAAATGTGTTCTAGAAGTAAATTCTCAGAAATATCACTGAAAACAAGTGTGCCATTTACAATCAAGCTTAGCTGTGCGAGATTTTACAAACTTCTAAATTTGTGAGGTTCTCTGTTTTTTTTTCTTACTATTGCCAAACAGGAACTGTCAAGTATCCTGTGGACACTGTTTCACCTGACAGGACAGCAGAAGGCACAAAGGAAATCATGGCCAAGGCTGCTGAAGCTGGAAGACCAGTACAGGGAGCAAAAGGCATCACGCCTTTGATTAATCTTCAGCACTTTAATATAATCTGGGGCTTTACTCCAGATTATATGCATTGTGTGCTTCTAGGTGTGGCACGGCAGATGACGGAGGACTGGCTCTCTAATGTAGGCGAGGAATATTACATTGGGGCACCACAAACTGTGGCAGTATTAGATCAACGTTTGTGCTCTATAAAGCCGCATAGCTGTATGCCACGACTTCCCCGCTCAGTTTCTCTGAGAAAGTATTGGAAAGCCTCGGCAGTGGCAGCAATGGCTACTGTATTTTTCATTGCCTTGTCTGGAAGGCCTACTTCCACGGCAGTATCTTAAACATTTTGCATTGCTTGTGAAAGGTATTGCCCTTCTTCTGCAGGACACAGTGTCCCTCAGTGACATTTCTGTAAGCACAGACTGCTTGGTAAAGTTTGTTGTCGACATGCAGTTTCTCTATGGAGAAAAAAACATGACTTTCAATGTACATCAATTGTTGCACATGGCTCAGAGTGTTCTGAACCAAGGACCTCTTTGGGCACATTCATGTTTGCTTTTGAGTCTAACATTGGCCAAATTAAGCAGCTGGTCACATCAGCAAAAGGTGCCCCCACTGCAGATTGTAGAGCGCTTAATGATGGCCAGCAACTTCAGGTATCTAAGGCTTCAGCTAGCCCTTGCACTCTGAAGTTTTTGACAAAAGCTGGCCCATCAAATAGTAAAGGTGGTTTACTGCTCAGCAAACCCCGAGCTGTGTCTGACCAGCTGCTTCACCTTGTGCAGGACCCCATGTTGGCAACATCGTTAGGGGCCCGTGTCATGGAACATGACCGAGTGATTGTATCACCGGGTGTTCGGTTTCACAGTGAGCAGTACTCAAGGCCGAACAAAGTGACAGCACTGTATTGCAAATATATTTGGGAACGTGCTTGAAGTTGAAGCACATTGTTTCTATTAGGGATTCGTCAGGAAATGTAAGGATTTTTGCACTGTCAAACAAATTCTTGTCACGTCGTGCATTTGGCACTGAGCACATAATGAAATCAGAGGATGCGAATTCCCAACAGCTAGTGGAGCTGTCTGCCAGTGTTGTCCCTTGCAACTATGTAGAGGTCAATAGAAAGTGTTTTTTTCAGAGAATTTCTTTGAAAATGCTCTCTGGTGGTGTTAAAGGGACGCTTAAGAGCAACATTGAATTAGTTTCATCATTCTATAAAAAGGTCTCATCATATAAAAATCGCACCAATACCTTCTTATACCTACTTTTTGTACTTTTTGTCAGAAACACTTCACATCTGTAAAATTAGTTTTTTTTGTTCCTTGTGTGTTGTGGCTTTATTAATAATTCACTGCTCAAGCACCTTCTAAATTACAATGATATGAGTAGAAACCTCAGATGTGTACACCGCATTGTCATTGCATGTCAAGCTGTTAAATGAATGGGCTGTTAAAAAGACCTCCACATGTCAGTGAACTGCAGGTGTAGATGTTTGTGGATTGTGCAGTGAAACAGTTGTTTTTAGAGGAAGTGAGAAATGCCATTTTCAATTGATTTAGCTATTGCCAATTTGTGCAAATTCATGCTGTATACTGTCGAGTGCCTCTTGAATTACTAATAAACCTTCATGATTGTGAGTATTGACAATTCTCATTGTTTAAGCCCAGCTTTAGCCCTGTCTCTGGGTGTAAACATTTTGTATTATAAAAAAAGAAGAGAAAGTGTGCGCTGTTGTACAGTACAAGGTTAATGTGCACTGGGTTGGTCAAATGTTCCCAGGCAGTGCTGTCATAAGATTACAAGCGTAGCAGCCTGGGAACGTTTGAGCACCCCTTTATATTTGAACACACCTTGTGTGTTCAGGGTGCATGCAACTCTTCAAAATTCCTCCCTTTTTTCTCTGTATCCTTTGTACATGTATGTTTCCAAATTAAATAACAATAAAACCATTGAAATAAAAAAGAACATATTCGAAGCTAAAAGTCTAGGAATTTGTCTATGAGCTGCTTCTTTGTGCTTAGGCAGCAGTGTAGATTCACCAAACTTCATTTCAGCACCAATATGCTTGTTCTTCAGGGCATTAAAATATGAAACACTGTTAATGAAGCGATAGACACCTACTGTGGCTTAGGTGCTGGCTCCATTCTGGTGTTGCACTGTTTTCTTCACGACATTTTTTATTGTTCATTTCCCCACCTGTAACGTCAACCTGTCGTACATTGTCTCTTTCTCGACTTATCTCTCTGCTTCACTATGTCTCGGCATTTATGCCACAAAATTGGTTTCCCCATCATGTGAGCAGCATGTTAAGTTAGTATACTCCAACGAAGCAAAGCCTAGTTATGCTTAAAAAGTCTCCGCAGCTAATCTGAACATTTTTGTGTGTAGTGAACTACTTCTTGTGGAATAAAGGCTTCACTATCACAGCACTATGTTCAT